TTGACAGTTATTAAGAAAAACGTCAAATAAGATGAGGCAAGAATTGAAAAAACACTTATTTGACAGTTATTTATTAGAACTGTCAAATATTATATACAAATACTTGACGATTAAATATAGAAGTGTGAAATATTTGTTATGAAAAATTCTTTAAAACACTTATTTGACGGTTGAATCTAATAACCATAAAATAATTTAACACTTATTATTTTTAAATTGTCAAATTCATTCTCACAGCTTTATATTTTACACCCTCGACTTCTAAGCTCCTTCTCTTTCCTGATGGTGCTACGTTTTTATCTGGAGCTCCATCAACTCCAGCCGCTACCCTCATCCCCTACTTCCTTTACTTCTTTCTTTGTCAACACTTTGCTCCTGCTCTTTGTTCTTGCATTACTTTGATACAATCTCTAGTTTGTCTGATGCTTGTTCAGTGTAGATTGGGGAAAGGCATGGGAGGGAATTTTGAAGATCTTGGGGTTCTAGGGTATAACAATAGAGAAAAAGGAGAAGCTTAGGTGACACCGTCACTTACAGTTTTTGAAGCCAAAGTTTTGCATACTTGCAGCAACTCTTGAAGGCGCCTAACTTCAATGATGCTTGCAGCTCTCAGTTGCTTCGAACGAATCTTAGGGGGCAGAAATGGCATCTAAATCTCCAAAGAAAGCCAATCTCTTAGATCTCTATTCCATCAACAAGCTACTCGACAAGTATGCCTTTGAGGTCCACTTAACTCTAACATTCTCTCTCCATTTTAAATCTCATCCATGTTAATCAGTTGATTATGTTTATTCTTTGAATTCTTCTTTCATTTTAGTAATTTGATTTTGCACTCTTCATTTTCTTTTTTTAGATTGTTAAGAGTCATGGCTATGTCGAAGACGTGAGATTGAGAAACATTAGGCTTTTCCTTGGAATGATCATAATTATCATTGCTCTGTTCGCTCAATTTTACAACAAGAAATTATCTGAGAAGTGGGATTTTCTCATTGCCTGCATCGTGTTATAATGAATTTTTTCATGCTCCAACTGTCCCTTATGACTATGAGTTGAAAGGGCCAGCTAAATGCATTAATAGTAGCCGCTTTCAACCCAATAAGTATATATACATGCAGCTACTTGTTTGTCTGATATATATACGCACATACCTGTTTGCTTTTGTAATTAATTAACCTCTTAATTATATATATATGGTGCAGGGGTTGATCATGATCTACTCAAATTAGAGAATATGATCTATTCAAATCAGAGTTTTCTGAAGCGAGATCGAGAGCTTTAAGAGAAGGAGGAGTTGTGTGCATTCAAGTAGAGAGCTTATGGTATGGCTCACTAGACAATCAGAAGCTTTTCTTTAGGCATAATTCACTACTTTTATGCTGAATATTGCAATTATAGATGTATATATAAAGAAGAAAGAGTGGAGTTAGACTATGGTATTTGAGCAAAGAACTAGTTTTTAGAAATTTTTTATTAATAGAACTTCTAGTAGGATTCAAAAAATGTACAAGACAATGCTCTTTTTTATGGAAATACTTAAGTGATTAATTTCCATCAAATTGTATGATGTTTATTTGTAATGTATTGGATTTTGAGTTTTGTTTAATATTATTCTCTTGTTATTTTCTATGTTTATTTTGTATATCATAAGAAATATTAGCAGTAAAAAAAATAAATAGAAACAAATAATTGTAAATAACTATATAAAATAATTTTAAAAAAAACACTTTATTTGATACTTTGTTAACCTTATTTGATAGTTATATACAAAGAACCGTCAAATAAGGTCATATTATTTTATAGTTATTGACCAAAAACTGTCAAATAAGGTCACATTATTTGACGGTTATTCACTAATAACCATCAAATATTCTTGGACGGTTCAAAACTGTCAAATATGCTATTAAGAGAATATTTGATGCCTTCTTATTTGAAGGTTCTAAAACATCAAATATGAGAAAAATAACCATCAAATATTAATAATTTTATAGTAGTGTCTAAATCTAAAAAACCTAAGAGAGAAAGGTAGAAAATATGTTAGAATCACTTACTTAAAAGTTTCAAAGCTCAAAATCACTTCTGAATGACCAAAAATTCTAACCCTATCAGAGTTCCCGTGTTTCTCCTCTTTTCTCCTTTTGATTTCTTTTTTTTTAATGTTCTAATGCTAGTATTTATCAGTGTTTTGAGCATTCACTACAATGAATAACACCAAGGCATTTAAATTCAAGTTCTAACATGTTAACAAACAATATAGAGGCTTGACTTCCCTTTTTGTGTGTTTGCTTGCAATTCGTTGTGGGTTACCACCTCTATTATGTAATGTTCACTATGGCAAACAACACCCGTTACCGCAGTAAATTACATAGAGAGCAAGAACACTAGCCCAAAACAACCTCTAACTTAACATCAATCCTTACCAACATCAAACAACCATTTATACACCTCAAGATCATAATCAATTTAATTTTAAAGACATATAAATCATCGATTAAAAATCAGGATGCAACAACAACCATAAACAACAAAGGGACTAATTGTCTGTTTGGGTAAGCGTTTGCTAGCCCAAACATAGCTTAAAATTAAAAGTGAGCTCGATGGGAGTTTTGGTCCATTTAGTAGAGCTTTTTTACAATTGGGCTTAACATAAAATAAGCCATTTGAGCCGATGATTGAAATAAGCTATTGGGAGGCAGCTTATGAAGCGATCAAAAGAGCTTATTACTGTTCTGAACATATGTCAGGGAATTTATTCCCTTTGTTTTTCTCTTCCATCTGCATTATTCCCTCGTGAGCCTCAGTTCCCTTTTTTTAACCTTGAAGTCCCATCCTTGCCCCGTCTTTGCTCGCCTCTGAAGGTTCATCATTGGTCACCTCCGATAAGGTCCATCACTAGTCACCATAAGCTCCGTCTCGTCATCGTTGTGAGGTTAACTGTTGGGTGTGAGGTGTGCATGGCCTGGTGGATGTTGCTCATTAATTACAAGTCCAAGCTAGTCCTGCTGTCTATAACTGAGGTTGCCGCCATCTGCCTGTGCATTTGAGTCGTGCATAGAGATCTTGGCTTCTCAGTGTAATACACAGTCAAATCTACCTGTGGCAGCATTTGGTTGGTTGGATCTGTTACAGGTTGGCTAGTTAAATTTTGTTATGTTGCTTTTTCGGTTTAATCCCCTGTGCTTGAATTTGCTATCACCCTTGGTCACTGGTGGAAAGTTGAAAATTAAAACCATTTCTGGGTCAAGAGTGCTCCTCTTGCTGGTCACCAGTGGTTCTTTTTTTTTTTTTTTTGCCTTCTGTTTTTCATGGTCCTCTATTTCTTCTGTTGTGCTGTGAATCCTTTTCCCCCCTTCGTGCTTTTGGTCATCCTGTCTGAGCTGTTAAGGTGGATTAATGTTATCTGTTGAGGTAATGGATCTACCTAGATAGTTGACATTTTTAGGAATATTGGTAGTGGCTCTCGTCTCCTTCCCCTTCCTCTGTATCTGTTTATTTACAGTGGTTTTTCATTGCATGTTCAGATCATGGATTGAATATTATATAATATAGTAGTGTTCCTATTGTGCTGAGATATGTTCAATTTAGTTCATTGCCATGACGCGATAATTGAGCATATGAAGGGTGTCATACTGTGATGATCATTCTGGATATGTGATTGTGTATATGTGTATATGAGCTTGTGTGTACTGATCATTTGGTTGCAATACGGCTAGAATTTTGAAAGTAAACTATACAAAATTTATGGTTTCTATTGGTGTAAATCCAATAACCTCAATTTGCAATTTCATATGAGAAAGACTTTCCCATTAGTGGCAAAAACTTATCGATTAAGTAGGAAAAATTCTATGTCAAAATTAAAAAGGCTTGTTCTGCCAAATATTTAAAAAATGTATCAAACCTAAACTGTATTACATTTAATAATAGATATTCAGTGGAAAAATGGCACTGTAATATGCTGCTCCTTCGGTTCCATATACGGGGTGATTTTCAAAGATGTATTTTTGTCTTTTTAACAAGACATTTAATGCTTTTAAGGAATATTAAGTATTGATCAATTTTCTTCTCCATATATACCTGTATTAAAGTTTAGCCTAGTGAATAAGTGTAACATTAAAAAATATTTGACTTTTTTTTTGACAAATTTAATGTTTCTGATTTTTTTTTGTTAGTAAGTCTGAATTAATTAGAAATGACTTATATGCAAAATCAAATGACATTTTTAGAAACAATACATAACTTTTTGTGTAGGCAGCATGCATATTTGAAATTAAGAGTTCATAATTTACAAATAGCACAATGTGTTCTCGTTTATATTATGTTTCTATTTTTAATGACAGATTCATATTACCTATAACAAGTTGTTTGTTTGGATTAACATAGATAGAAGTGGTTTTTATTTTACTTGTAAACAGTAAAATTGGGATAAAAATTAATCAACGTAATGCAGTTTAGGTTTGATACGTTTTTCATTAAAAAAAATTAATTTAACATAAACAAATTTAATTTATATGATATATTGAAAATTTAATTTTAAAATGTTCACAATCAATTACCACCAGAGAATAGTGGACATTGACATTGTGATTTTATATTTACAATTTAAAAAAATTTTAAATAAGAAAACTAAACAGCTCATGCAATTAAAATGTGTTAATTAATATTTTATGACTTCATAATAATAATCAGAGTTTTGACAACAAGAACATGTGCAATAATATTAAGAAAATAATATATATGTTTGTTTAGTTACAACATATGTGTTACATAATACGGTTTTTATTATTACATATTTAGGGCTTTAGTTGATTCAGTTAGTCTTATCTCGATCAAAGGGCATAGAGAAATGGATAATGAAGGGAAAAAACGACATAGGATCATACATGACAAAAATTCTAATCAATGTTTGTGCCGAGTAAATAGTGCATAAGGAAAGACAAGGAATATTGTTTACAAGGCCCGGTTGGGGGAAAATTGAAAAGAATTTTCAGGAAAGGAATGAGAAAATGTATGACAGGAGGCAATTGAAGAATAGATTTGATGTATTGAGAAAGGATTGGAAGTTGTGGGAAAAACTAATGTCTGGAGAGAATGGCATTGGTTATGATGCAGCCACAGATAGGATGCTAGCCTTCGATGAGTGGTGGCAACAAAAATTACTGGTAACTATTTGCATTGGTTGAGTTTTAATTTTGAATATCAGTTTAGACATCGCTTAATTATGCCTAATTATGTTCATGTAGGTGGACCCCAATTTCAAGAAATTTAGACATTAGGGGTTGATGTTTGCATCAGATCTGATGAAAATAATATTCAAAGATGTTGTGCCTTTGGGAGAGTATATGTACACACCATTAGCCTCGCAGTCTCAGCCAGGATTTGCTCCACAGCCTGACACAGAAGAGGAGGAACATGTTTAGAGAGTCTGGCTAGACCAACAAGAAGGGTCGGGGGATAGTGAGGATGAAAATTTTGGTGTTGACCTAACAGCCAATACAAGGGTCACAGATGACTTCACCGATTGCAACTTAAACAACCCCGTGAGTATTGGACCAAGTGGATCAGGAAGTTGTGGAAAGAGGAAGAGGGGTGAGACGTCTGATGCAAAGAAGAAGAAAAAAGTTACTGCATCTACTAAAATTTCTGATAGCCTTAATGTTATAGCAACTGCTTTTGACAAGCGAGCAATAACATTGGTTGAAGATCCCCAACTAGTTGACAAGGTTTTGGCATACTTGGCTAGCCTTAAGGAGCTTAATGGTGACAATCAACTATATTATGCATATGCCAAGATGCTTACACGGTTGAGGTGGGCTAGGCGAGCCTATTTAGGGTTTATGCATGGTAGAAGCAAGTTGTTGGCGTGGTTGATACTGGCATCACAAGAGCCAGAGACATGGAAGGGACCTGCAACTTAGGATTTAGTTTAGGACTTAGTTGTTTCACTATTTTTATTGCACTTGTTAACTTGAACTGATTGCTGTTTTAACCTGAACTGATGTGGCCTGTTGTAGGAACTTTATTAATGACTATGTAATATATGTATGCTAATTTCCACTTCTCATTTATATGTTTGGTTTTACTATTTGCAGTATGAAAATTATTTACACTTTGTTTTGTTTAGTCCTTATAATGCTTACACTTTGTTGTTTAAACATATATAGGGTTAATTCCAAAAATGACTAATTGGAATGACAATTCACCATGGAATAAAGATACGTTATAGAATTGGAATAACGATTCATGGTGGAATGAAGATAACCATTCAACACAGTTATCTATGATTAATGATGAATTAACACAATATAAAGCAGTGGGTGCATTGGTTGGTCATTATTGTGAAATGTATATGTTTAAACAACCCTGCAGAGCTAGTAGGCAGATAGGAAACTTATGGGTACAAGGCATTATGTCGGGGCATGATGATCAATGTACTAAAATGTTTAGAGTGGATAAACATATTTTCCACCTCTTATGTACTAGATTAGAGGAACATGGTTTACGAAAGTCTAAGTATGTAGGAATTGAAGAAATGGTCACGATGTTTTTAAACACGATTGCACATGGACAATGCAATAGGATGATTTAGGAACGATTTCCATGTTTAGGGGAAACTATAAGTAGGCACTTTCACAATATACTGCAAGCTTACCTTAGTCTATCGAGTGAACTTATTCGACCGATAGATCCTACATTTCACGGAACTCATAAAAAAATTGAGAACGATCCATATTATTATCTATTTTTTAAGGACGCAACTGGAGCAATTGATGGCACTCATATACAGTGTGTTGTCCTCGCTACAAAACAAGACAAATTTATTGGCAGAAAGGGAAATCCATCACAAAATGTCATAGCTGTATGTGATTGGGATATGTGTTTCACTTTTGTCTTGGCAAGATGGGAGGGATCTGCATATGATGCTCATATATTTGACAGTGCTATTACAAATTCATCTCTTAATTTCCCTCATCCACCTTCACGTATATGTTTATATGTTCCAATCATGCCCGTTTTTAATTATTTCATATTTCTATTCATTTCACAATGTCTCAGATTGTTTCATGAATGATTTAGGAAATATTACTTGGTTGATACGGGATATCCAACACCAAAGGATATCTAGGTCCATACAGATGTGAGTGCTATCGCCTTCCGGACTTTCGACGACAAGTAGGATTCCGAAACAGTAATGAAGCCTTCAATTATTATCATTCCAGTTTAAGGTGCACAATAGAAAGAACATTCGGTGTTTGGAAGAATAGATTTCAAATCTTGCGAAATATTCATAGTTATGACTTCTAAACACAAGTGTATATAGTTTGTGCAACAATGGCCATTCATAACTTTATAAGGAGACATTAAAGCTTCGACTTCTTTTTTCAACAAGCTAAAAATGGTAATAATGTGGGTGAACATGATCAAGCTGAAGCTAGCCAACCATTGTCTTTAAATGTTACATCATAGTCTTCATCACATATGAATCGCATCCGTGATACAATCAGAGACCAAATTATCCATAGCTTATCAATTAATTAATTATATATTATTATTTAGTTTCACTTTGTCGCAATATTGCAAATTGGAGTTCAAAACATTTTTATTCATTCAAATTATGTTTCGCTTTATATTTGCAATATTTTTTCCATTTCTCTGATGTTTTTAAATTTAATTCACTCAATCAATTTCACTTCTTCATATTAAATTACCAATAAATCATTGTATTATGTCAATTCATTTTTTTTATCATGTTTCATTTTATATTTAAAATATTTCTTATAATTTCTCTAAAGTTTCAATTTTATTTCACTCACTAAACTTCACTTCTTCATTATATTATCTCAATTCCTTTTTCTTTCGTGTTTCACTTTATATTTAAAATATTTTTTATGATTTCTCTAAAATTTTAAAATTTAATTCACTTATTAAATTTGACTTCTTCACAATAAATTATTTTCATTTCATTGTATTATGTGAAATCATTTTTTATCATGTTTTATTATTTATTAAAACTCATACCCATTTTGGTCATTTTACAACGAAACTTACTTTGACTTAACTATAATCCAAACAAGCTTTTACCAATCTCATTTTTGCAAACTAGCTTTTTTAAACTCTAATCCAAATACAATTCAGCTTATTCAATTTAACTTTTACCAACTTTACTTTTCTATAAGCTACTTTTATAATAAGCTACTTTTCCAATCGTTGATCCAAACAGACCCTAAGTCTTCCCAAAGTCATTGACGACACCAAGAAAAGCTCAAGAGAGGGAGAAGGAAACCCTCACAAGCCCCCCCCCCCAAAGTAAAATTGCTTCTATTTGAAATTTGATATAATTTTTCAATTTTTTATTTTTACTTCCAAAATGTAACTCATGATTTGAATAGGGTATAATTCATTACTTTTGACAGTAGTAAAATTCTGCTCTCTTTGTTTTAAATTAAGTTTGTATACACAAATTAAGAAAACTAATAATATAACAAAATAAATTATATGTTACTAAAATACCGTTTTTTATTATTTTTATTATTGAAGAGTAAAATTGTTAACAAATTCATATGTAGCGTATTAAAATTCTAATGTGGAAATTGTTACTTGCAAACAACTTCAAAACCCCAAAATGACTGTTGTTTCAAAAGTGAGACGTATGTGTGTTTTTTTTTTTTTGGGGTGGAGAATATAGTATTAACAATATAAACTTTAGCTAAAATATTCACAAATGACAATAAAGATATATCAACTAGAGTCTACTAAGTCTCCACACAAAACGCCCCAAATTTTATTATAGAAAAATGAATTAAAAATTAGTTTTTACCAACTTAACATCAAATTTAATTTAGTTAATAATTATTGGTTTGATAAGGTTTGAGAAATTTAGTTTATTTTCTATTTATCTTTTTCTTAATCCAATTTTGAGGTCAAATGGATCATCATCGTTTCATGCTTGTATCATAGTTGGACTTTTTTTTTTTTTTTTGGTTTTTTGCTTCTTTTGGGGAATGACACTCAGTTCCTAAAGATGAATTTAATGACAATTAAATATTAACAAAATTTACGCAAAGATGAGTTACAAATATTGACTTAGAAATTTGTGAATATGAGTTTTAGTTAGAAAATACAACTTTTTAATCTTAAAGATCACACCTAATTATTTGTAATTTACATTATCATATTTACAAATATCTCAATCGATATTTTAAACTTATTTCAATAAGAATATTTTGACATATAAACGTCGTTAAATTAATTTTTCGAGATCTAAGTGTCATATTTCACTTGTCTAGATAAAATTATTATATTTTTTTTCCCGCTAGTTTCATATGTTATTACTAAAAACTGATATTTTTATTGTCCATAAATAAATAGAAGTGTAATTCGCCTAAAATTGATTCAAGTGGCACCACCCTGAATATAAGTTATATAACCACTAAGGAAGATAAATATATTTCAACTGAAGTTCTATTTTAAAGAAAAAATAAAAAGTCATCTGAGCTACAGCTTGATCAAGCATTAAAATAAAACACAAAGTGGGGATATATATAATTACATATAATATTATTAGTATCATTATTATTAGCAGCAAAGTTAATGTTAATGGAGGGAGATAGACTGATCATAATGATTTCAAGTTGACGAGAATTTTCAGGGCTTAATAATTCAAGTCAAGTAGATACTAGTAACTTTCAACATAAAATGTCAAAATTCTAATTTACACAAAAGATCAATTTCTCTTGCCAACTTAATATATTCAAACTTAGTTAATTTTTATTGGATCGACAAGTTTTTTACCAACTCTCACAAGGTATATTTTTAATTAATTTTTCTGCCAATCCAACTTTTTCTGGCTCAAAATATTCAATCGGTAATTAATTATCCTATCTCATTAATTTGTATTTTTATTTTTCAGATACTAAAGTATATTTTGCCTATGGACGTGTGTGTATGTGAGATTCCCATACAATCGTATCATCATGACATCCAAAGAAATAAGAAAAATTCCCCTAAAATTGATTCAAGATATATATATGAGGTCATCCTCAATATAATTATGACGAAACATATATAGATCGGTTTAATTTCAGCCTTTTTTTTTTTCTTTACTTAGTAAGAATTGTTCACTCACCTAATACAAATCGATCCAGCATGCACTTAAAACACTAAGAGGGATATAAATAATTACACATAGTATTATTATTAGGGAGATGTTAATGGAGGGGAAACTCATAATGATTTCATCGCGGAATAAAGCACACACATTGATTTGAAGCCTAATCACACCAAAGGTTAAAGAAAAGAAATAAAGAAAAATGTATGATGATGAGTAGTGAACAGTAGGTGGTGTGGTTGGCGTAACAGTAAGGATTTTGGATCATTTGACGCCAAAATCAAAATACTCCCTCATGTACAAAATATAAGGCGTTGGTAACTGATTCATACAAAGCAAGGAATGCTAGTTGAGTCATTAAATTTCCTTCTAGAAAACTTCTTATATTTTGCATTGAAGGGAGTAGCTTTAATATAGGGCACTAGCAGGTTCATTCATTTTAAGCAAATAGTATTAAGATAATACTCTTCGGGTTCTTAAGAACTTAATTAACTAATTTGAATAGATTAAGAATGTTAGTTAAATTAGTTAATATAATATGACTTTTTTCTAAAACATCCTAAGTATCTTTCTTAATTCTCTCCCCCTCTCATATTTGATTACTGTTGGAAAAATATCAATAGTGTTAATTTGGAAAAAAAACTTATAAATATTTGAAATAGGTCTTACAAATAAGACTAATATTAACTATATAATTAGGTCATATATTAAGGACTAGAGGAATATATTCTTATATATTACTAACTTATTACCAAAACTCAATTTTTTGAAATTTAATTGTTTGCCAATGCTTTCTAATTATGCTTATTA